CTGCAAACAGGGTAAACACATCATACATTAAAGATCTCGAAAAGCGTTGAGTTCAAAAGTCAGAAGTCTCGAAATTCAAACGCTTCATCCGCATGCTGTTGCAATTAATTCATAACTTCTGAAAATACTTCCGAGTGCTTCTGTTTCTAGCAGCTACTGAATACAGAGGGGTTTTGGAATATAACTTCCCTCCTGCCCCTTTCCTCCCCGGATTTTAACTTCTACGCTAGTTCGAGCAGATTTCTCAAGACTAATCTGCAGCTTGAAAGATGGCCAAATAGCACTTATATGTAACAGTATCGAACAGACTGTCAATTCAGCATCACTGATAGGATACTTCCGGAAGTACAGACTCCTCAAAAAAGTTTAGTCAAAACATGTAATCTAATTTCAAGCTGTGCAGCGAGAGACTGTTTTCGAATTCATGCTTCACCTGCCAAAATTATTTGGATTATCGTTACGAAATCTTTGGCTTACTGAGTGCGGCTACAGGTCAAGTAAAAACACGAGTCAGCACAAGTCTGAGCTCTTCGCCTCCAAAACGGTCGCAAATTTTGATTTTGGTCGATGTCCTTTTTATGCGTTTTGCGCTGCAGCAGCGGCGCAAAGCGAATATTTGCTGAGATCTCGTCTCTCTGAGTTTTGACCGAGTCTTTTCAGCCCAGTAACCTAAAAAACTAAAAAGCTGAAATATTTGAGGAGGATATTGTCTGCTCACGTACAAGCAATTTGAATTCTGTTTACACGTACAATTAGGTCTCATGTTCGGACAAGTGAGGGATTTGGCAGAAAATTTTCTTACTTGTATCTTGTCTAGCTTAAGTTGGAAATTTTTCAGAGCGATGTTTTTCAGAAGCTGAAATTCCAAAGTGACGTTTTCCGCCTAAATGCAAAACCAGAAAATGTGAAATTAGCTCCCACATATTTCTAAATGTCATGTACAAGAAACTAAAATTTTTGACAGAAATTTACCAATTCTGAAACCAGAAGAACAAAGAAACTGAAACCTTTTTAGGACATTTTCTGCCCACATGGAAGCATATTAAATAAATTCGGCTTTGCGCGCGCCTCAGTTTCATGTGTAGGCAAGTGAAATTTCTGAAGGAAATTTTCTCACTCAGAAACCGGACAGCATTTCGACGATTTTGCACTCACCTCTCCCGGCACTAGTATAATTGACATGTGATATTTGTAACGAAGTCGCTAACCAGACAAGTTACGAAGCAAAAATTTTACACTGATATTCTCTATTCACATGTGGCCTTAATTAAGCTTAGATGTGAAATTTCATTTACGCAGAGATGAAAAATAATCAGTTTTATCGTAAGCTCAAAAGCGAGTGCATTTTGTAAACTTCATAATTTTCCAACTCGGAAACTAGGCAAAACAGAAAGCTGAAATTCCAGAAGTATGTTTCCTATCCAAATACACATAGGCTGGAATGCACCAAGCTTGCCAGTGCAAGCATTCGTTTTTGCTTAGCTTTTTACGCAGATTTCACTCAGAATTAAATGCATTTTGCAGCAAACGACCGCCCTTATCCTCTACCAACATCCATTTCCAGTTCACCGCTGAAAAGTGGAAATGTTGCTGGAATGGTCGTTTGTCAAAAAAATCCAACTGGATGTTGGAAGAGGATGAGTACGATTGTTCGCTGCAAAATGCACTTGCTTCTGAGCTGTTGGTAAAGTTGAGTATTTCACAAGCAGAACTAAGAGCGCACTTGGAAGTAAAATATTCCAGCGAACTTTCAGTCCTGCACATTGTCCGGTAAGCGAAATAACCACTTCGCTGCATACAACCTTGAAGTGCCCTAGTTGTGGTGTAAGTGCAAATTGGGACTCGTTTTAGGTATATGATTTCCCATATTGACGAAAATATTCTGACAAAACTTCAGTCACTGTTTTCCGACATTTGGGTTAGCACAGCTCCAAGTGCAAACTTTGACGTGACCTAAGTGCTACACAAGCTCGAGCAGTGGCTGAATTTGAAATCTTTAGCTCGCACATGCACAGAGAATATCCTTGCAAAGTTTCAGGTTTCTGTCTTGCCTGATTCCCAAAATCGTTTCCCGCTGCATATTTTTTCCGGGAGCCCGTATACGAGATCTAGGCGCATATAAGGAAGATCTTAAAGCGGGAGGGTGACACACGGAATGGGAATGTGTCCCCAAAATTTCAGCCTCCTAGCTTTTCTGGTTGCTGGGTTGAAAGTGTCTGACAAAGTTCACTCGCTTCCGAACACACACAGGCGAACTCTCGACAATATGCGGTTTTGCTTGCTGTAACAGCGTTAGAGCAAAATAAATATAGATTTATAAATTTAAAATCAGCTTCCACATATGCTTAGATCTCACGTACGAACAAGTAAAATTTTTGACGGAAATTTACTAACCCTCGAACAGAGAAGCAAGGAAGTTGAAATTTTTTTAGGCTGAAATTCCCTGTCTACGTGGGACCACATTAATTAAATTTAGCTTTCGTGGACGCCTAATTTTCATGTCCCGGCAACTGAAATTTTTGAGGGGAATTTTCTTGCTCGGAAATCCGCCAACATTTCGACGATTCTGCGTATGTGATTGACTTGTGGTAGCACCCTCAAGAACCCTAATATATTCCATATCAGCACTTTGGAGGATAATGAAGCTAATGTATCCATTGCTTCAGACCCTAGTAGCAGATATTTTGAAGACATACCGCTTGGTTCGGCAACGACCTGCAGCAGAAGCAGCAATAGTACCAGTGCAACGTTACGAGACCGAATATGATGAGCGCGTCGACAAGGTGCAGTTACTTTTTCCCTTTCTCTCCGCACGGAGCCTTAAATCTGTCATTGAAAAAGGGGTCTTACATGCATCAATCCATTTTTTGCAAATGGATATGGATGGGGCAAAACCGAACCACTCGTCTTTACATCCGTGCACTACACCACCGGTCCTTGTTCTCTAGGCACCTGGTGACACTTCTGCTGTATCTGTCTTTAAGTTTGCGTATATTTATGTTTTTATGCGTTTTTTGCAGCAATGCAATGCGAAAAACGCATATTGACGAGAGGTTGTCTGTGTTTCGATTTTTTGTTGTTATATATTTCCTCCGTTTTTATGCGTTTTTTGCAGCAGTGCAATGCGAAAAACGCATATTGACGAGAGGTTGTCTGTGTGATTTTTATGCGTTTTTTGCAGCAATGCAATGCGAAAAACGCATATTGACGAGAGGTTGTCTGTGTGTTCGTGTGTCTGTGTGCCTGTGTGTGCGTCTGTCACGCACTTTCATCTCCGGACCTATAAAAGCTGCGATGTGTCTGTGTGTGCGCTGGGCCTCTGTATCGGTTTTTCATCTCGAGACCGGCAAAAGCTACGGAGCTGAAACTTTGGGGACTTAATCTACATGCACGTACGGGCTCCTATCCCCAAAATGGGCGGTCTTTCCCGCGTGGTATCCACGTAAAACCCCGCCAAAGTTTTTTACGCGCGGTCTTTCCCGCGTGGTACCCCCGTAAGACCCCGCCAAATTTTTTTACGGGTAAACTGCTAACTCATGAACCACAAAAGCTAGAGAGCTGAAATTTTATGCGAATGTTCCCCGTCCAAGTAGGTACTAATGAGAATCCAGCCCCCGCCAGGAAGTGTGGTACCCGCGTACGAGCCCCCCAAAAATTTTTCCCGCGCAAATTCATAACTCGGGCTTCAGAGACGCTAGGAAGCTGAAATTTTAGGGGCAGTACCCGCGTACGAGCCCCCCCAAAATTTCTCCCGCGTAAATTCATAACTCGGGGTTCAGAGATGCTAGAAAGCTGAAATTT